TGAAGCAAAACTGAGTCCTTTAACCCATGTGACAGGCTGACAGCTCTCCGAGCTCCTTCGGGGTGGACCTTCAGGGTGGACCGCATGTCTTCCTCTTCCTCCTGGTCCCCATCAGGCCCCTGCGGCCGGCCCAGTGCCAAGCACTACCTACTGGGTCCACCAGGCTCGTGTCCTGCCAGCTGGGGCATTCCACCTTCTTGGAGCCTTCCTCTTGGGAGGCGGTCCTCAGGGCCTCACCCGCTGTGGACTGCGGGAGGGGCTGGAACTCGCTCTGTAGGCTCCGAATCACACCAGCTCCCTGCCAGAGTCATTGCAGCTCCCTCTGTCCTGGTTTTGTCACAAGGAGGGCAAGGCTCCACTTGAGGCCTGTGTGTCTTTCTCATTTCCTAATACTTCTTCTTTCATTTTAAGAAACAGTGTGTGCGTGCAAGCTCAGACGCTTCAGTTGTGTCTGGCTCTTTGCAACCCTATGGACTGTAGCCTGCCAGGCTCCTCTGTCCTTGGGACTCTCCAGGCAAGAACACTGGAGTGCGTTGCCATGCCTTCCTCCAACAGGATCTTCCCAACCCAGGGATCGAACCCGCGTCTCTTTATGTCTACCTGCATTGGCAGGTGGGTTCTTTACCACTTTGTATAATGTGCTGAATAGCTTCAATTTATAGCAAATGCCTTAGGTTGGGTCCCCCTAGACGCAGATCCCCAAGAAAATAATTCAAAGCCAAGTAGTTTATTTGGGAGATGATCCCAGAAAACTCTGGTAGGGGTATGGGAAAGTGAGCCTAGGAGGCGGGGGTCAGGGGAGGCCTCCAGTGCAGAGAATATTGTCGAGCAAGGAACCCCTGTGGGCGCCTGGGGCTCCACCTGCTGCAGAACTCTGAGAAATGGTACAGAAGGTGCCGATAAGGAGAAGGGAATGGCAACCCACTCTAGTATTCTTGCCTGGAGAATCCCAGGGACAGAGGAGCCTGGTGGGCTGCCATCTATGGGGTCACACAGTGTCAGACACGACTGAAGCGACTTAGCAGCAGCAGCAGCTATTTTTAACTTATATGCAGAGTACATCATGCGAAATGTTGGGCTGGATGAATGACAAGGTGGAATCAAGATTGCCAGGAGAAATATCAACAACCTCAGATATTCAGATGATACCACTTTAATGGCAGAAAGTGAAGAGGAACTAAAGAGCCTCCTGATGAGGGTGAAAGAGGAGAGTGAAAAGAGCTGACTTAAATTCAACATTCAAAAAACAAAGATCATGGCATCTGATCCTATCACTTCATGGCAAATATGTGGGGGAAATATGGAAACAGTGTCAGATTTCATTTACTTGGGCCCCAAAATCTATGCAGACGGTTAGTGCAGCCACAAAATCAAAAGATGCTTGCTCCTTGGAAAAATAGCTATGTCAAACCTAGACAGTGTTTTAAAAAGCAGAAACATCACTTTGCCAACAAAGGTCCCTATAATCAAAGCTATGGTTTTTCCAGTAGTCTTGTGTGGATGTGAGAGTTGGACCATAAAGAAGGCTAAGCACTGAAGAATTGACACTTTTGAACTGTGGTGTTGGAGAAGACTCTTGAAAGTCTCTTGGACTGCAAGGAGATCAAACCCATCGATGCTAAAGGAAATCATTGAATATTCATTGGAAAGACTGATGCTGAAGCTGAAGCTCCAGTACTTTGGCCATCTGATACAAAGAGCTGACTCATTGGAAAAGACCCTGATGCTGGGAAAAATTGAGGGCAAGAGGAGAAGGGGGTGACAGAAGATGAGATGGTTGGATAGCACCACTGACTCAATGGACATGAGTTTGAGGAGATTCAGAGAGATAGTGAAGGACAGGGAAGCCAGGCGTGCTGCAGTTCATGGGCTTGCAAAGAGTTGGACACAATTTAGTGACTGAAAAACAACAACAAAGCTATTTTTTATATCATTTCCTTGTCTACTTTTAAAATTATATAAATAACTTTTGGATAAATAATACACGGACAATATAAAATTAAAAAGTATTTTTGGTTAAGAGGCACAAAATTGGAAGCTTTTAACTACATATTGATTTTATCCAGCTTCCTAGTATTTGTCAAATCCAGGTGGTTTAAAATGTACCCCCAGGAAACTTCATTTTCTCTTTAATTTGCTCAATAAATTCAGGATATCTTTAAAAAAAAAAAAAAGAAGAAGGTGCTGATAACCTTGGATTATCCAGTGGGGGTGGGCGGTGGTGGGCGCTGCCAGGGAGCTGAGGCACGGATCCACCTGCTCCTGCCGTTCCTTGGTTGGGGGCAGTTCCCTGGAGTGTTAATTCCCCGAACTTCTGGCCTCCTGCAGGTGGGCAGGTGGGCAGGTAACCCCCATGGTTAAAGGGGGTAGGTGCTGGCAGCTGGAATCCAGTTTATGTTCATGGGAAGTACGCAGGAGGGGAGCTGGGCGAGGCACCAACAGAAATGCCTCGCACTTGATGCTGGTTTCTCATGTAAAGCAGAGATCAAATGTTTCCTTTAAAATGAAGTTTAAATAAAAGTTGAAAACATGAGTTGGCTTAACAAGAAAGAGTAAATAGTGTATGGGGGAAGTGTGAATGTGGCAAACACTGCTACTTCTAAGGGCATTTAAAGCCTTTAACTTTCCTGGTGGCTCAGACAGTAAAGAATCTGCCTGCAACGCAGAACATCCGGGTTCGATCCCTGGGTCAGGAAGATCCCCTGGAGAAGGGAATGGTAACCACTCCTGTATTCTTGCCCGCAAAATCCCATGGACAGAGGAGCCTGGTGGGCTACAGTCCATGGAGTCGGAGAGTCGGACACCACTGAGTGACTAACACTTTCAAAGCTTTTAACAAGCAGACGTGTCTTCTTGGTGACCCACCCGCATGGGGATACAGAGAGCAGCCTTTCCTCCCAGCACACCCACCCCAACACTGCTCTGGATTCCTGGGAATCTTGGAAATGAGCCATGAGGCTTGAAGCCCTTTGACTTGGGGTCTGTCACTTAATATCTCTAGGCCTGTCCATGAAAAGGGTAGGTCCCAAAGTCATGTGAAAGAAGAAATGTGCAAAAACAGCCAAGACAGCTCTGAAATGGAAGAACTAAGAGGGAGGCCTTGTCCGTCCAGACTTTAGGATCTATGGCAGAGGTTTAAAAAGTAAAACTCTGTGGTAGTGGCAGGCCTGCCTGCTAAGTCATTTCAGTCGTGTCTGACTCTTTGCGACCCCATGGACCGTAGCCCGCCAGGCTCCTCTGTCCATGGGATTCTCCAGGCAAGAGCACTGGAGTGGGTTGCCACGCCCTCCTCCAGGGGATCTTCTGGGATCAAACGCGCATCTCTTACACTTCCTGCATTGGCAGGCGGGTTCTTCACCACTAGCCCCTCCTGGGAAGCCCAGTATTGGCATAGACATGGGCAAACACATCAAGGGAATAGAACAGAGTCCAGTAACTTAGTCCAGGTGTCACTTGTCCTGCTGAAGGGATGTGAAAGGGTTTGAGAAAGGGGAGACGTCAGTTAGCGTGGAGTTCTCTGGATTGGGTCTGGGCTGGGGCACTGGCTGCCCAGCAGGCTCCTGTCATTGGCCTTTCCCTGGGATCCACCTGCTGAGGCCCTGAGGAGACATCCTCATGGACCACACGCTCCCTGTGTCTGCCCTGGGAATCTCAGAAGCCTCCAGGGCATTGCGCCCTTCGGAGTTCTCTTTGATTCTTCTGATTAACCCACAGAGACAGCCGCACGTGGGTGCTGGCAGGCCTTTCCCAGGTCTCCAAAGCTTGCTCATCTCCTTTTAGAAGGCAGAGCAGACCTCAGCCCGGAGCCCGGAGCCCTCAGCCCTCAGAATCCAGCTAGAGTTTAATAATATTTCTTTGTGATCACTGCTTTTGAGGTTATGTTTTGTCTGTAGAACAGTAACTGTACAAATTTTCCTTGAAAATTTATTTTACTGACACATGCTACAAAGAGGATGAACCTCCATAACATCGTGCCAAGTGAAAGAATTCAGATCCTGAAGGTCACCTCTGGCACGGTTCCCTATGAAATACATAGAATAGGTAAGTCTGGAGAGACAGAAAGCAGAATGGTAGTTTCTCAGGACTGGGGTGCAGGGCTTGAGAGTGGGGAATAGCTGCTTCATGGTACCGGGTTTCTTTCTGGGGTGATGAAAATGTTTTGCAGCTAGTGAGAGGTGGTGGTTGCATAACCCTGCGAATACCATTGTGACTAGCCCATGAATTGTTCATTTTAAATTGGCTAATTGATGTTACGTGAATTTTACCTCAGTAAATGATTTTTAAAAAACCAACCAAGCAAAGGAAAAAAAAATCATTCATAAAAAGTGTGAATGACTTTAAAGATGACTTTTCAGTGAGATTTAGGAGACGTTGGCTGAGGGAGCTGACCTCACCCCCAGGCCTTGGCCCCTGCAGTGCCCAGGTGTGGAATGCCCCCTCTGTGCACTGATGGAATGCTGCCCATCCCTGGGAACCAAGCTGTAGTCTCAGCTCTGCAGGAAGCCCTCCCTGATTACGCGGGCCCGTCCAGAGGTCAGAGCGGTCAGGTGGGCCCAGTCCTGCAGCTGTGCAGACCTTGGTGCAAATCCTATTAGTGGGGAGGAGTCTTCTAACTTTGGACACACTGCTTCCTTCACCTCCCCAAGAGGGCTTCAGTTTCCTCATCTGTCAAATGGGGGTGCACAGTTGTTCTTATCTCACCAGGTTGAGTTAAGCCTGCATAGAAAGCCAGCAGACAGGGCCTGGTGCAGCGTGGATGCCCTTGGTTCACCCCTGGCTTTGAGCACCGGTCACATCATATTGATTTATGTACCTCTCGTTTCCTGAACTGGAAGCAAGGGTGCAGTCTTTGTCATCCCTGTATCCACAGTTCCCACACAGGGCTCAGACATAAGTCTTCAGGAAGGACGTGTTGATTGACGCCCGAAGGGATTCCCCGAAACATGCCTCTTCTGCCCACCTTCAGGGTCCCCACCTGTCGAGCTCCCTTCCTCACTCACCTGGACCATTGCAGGCCACCCGGCTCTGTACTCTACTCCTCACCCGCGCCCATTCTCCACGTGCAGCCAGAGGTCTCATCAGAACCTGAGGCAGCCCATCCCTCTGCTGCTGTGAGCCGTCCTGGGGCTCTCCTCCCATCTAAAGTCTGAAGTCCCCCTCGCGGCCCGCCAGGGCCTGCTCCTCTAAAACCCCGGCCTCCACCACTGGACTTTTGCATCTGCTGTTCTCTTTCTTGAGGACATTCTTCCCCAGATATAGCGCCCACCTCCTCCCCTCCTTCAGGTCTCGGTTCAAATGACTATTCCTGTTAAGGGAGATTTTCCCTGGCTTCCCAGACCTCACTGGACACCAAAGCTCTCGTCCTCCCCTAGGAAAAGCCCCTGGCTGGGGTCCTGGGTCCCAGCCCGCGTGTCAGGAGAGGAGAAGTTCCCGGGCCTCGCCCTGGACTCGGGGCCCCGGGGTCAGCCGTGGAGGTGGGCAGCACCAACCGTACCTGGTGCAGAGCCCCTGCCCGCCCGCCCTCCGTGGGAGGCGCCCTGCCCAGCTCCCACGGGCTTGCAGGGCACAGATGGGAAAGTCCCGCGGCCTCCTCCTCTTACCTGATGAGGGCTGACTCAGACCCTCACCCCTGGCCAGAGGGAGCCGCAGCCACCCCGCCCGGGCCCTTGATGGGAAACCGCGCTGCCAGGGCCTGGCTGGGCCCAACCCTGACTCACGGCACCCCGCCCAACCTCTGCCACTGGGAGTCACGCCTCCCTCTGGCCAAAGACGCTCCGGCTTCGCTCCCGGGGAGCGTTCTCCTCCACGCCTTTGCCCCAGCAGTGCCCTGGCTGGCAGTGACCTTCTATGGGGAGCCTTCTGTCCCTCCGAGCCCAGCCCAAAGGCCATCTTCTGGTGGGGAACGCCAGAGATTCCTCTGGCCAGGAAAGCGAAGGGGTCGTGGGAGAGGTGGTAATGATAGCAATAATAATAATAATGACTATTATACAGTAATAAGAGTAACTAGTCATGCTTGCGCTGTGCCAGGCACTGTAGGAAACACTTCATTGTATTAATTCATTCAACCTTCACAATAATCTTCTGGGGTAGGGACTTTCATTTTCCCAAGGCACAGAGTGGTTAGTAATTTGCCCAAAGTTACCAGCTGGAAAGTGCGAGAAAAGCGATTTGAATCTCAGGAGTCTGGCTCTCACACCGTCATTCTCGTCTCCCAGACCTGGAAAACCCAGCGGAGACCGCTGAGGGAGCCGGGAGGGAGGAGGTCCAGGTTCTGAGCTCGGTCTCAGTTGCCCCTCACCCACAGTGGGCACAGGCCCTGCTCTTCAGGGTACAGGTGGTCTTTGCTCCCTCCATCAGGGTGAATCCTTGGAACACGGTCTGGGCGATCCACAACAGCGGTGGAAAAGGCATTTACGTATACAGAGCAAGGACTATGGCCTGGACACTTAACCCATTTACCTCCCAGCAGCTGCGTGCAGTGGGGGCAGTTACTAGCATCTGTTTTATGGAGGAGGAGACGCAGGCCCAGAGCGTAATAAGGTTTGCTCAAGGTCACAGAGCTAGGATATAGCAGATGCTCGAGTTAAACCCAGGATTGTTCTGATACCGTAAGGCCAGAGTCCTTCCTGCTGAGTGGGGACATCTCAGTGAGGAGCAGGGCAGGGCCCAGATGTCAGAAGAGCCTGGAACTTCAGTTCGCGTTGCCCTCTTACTCTGGCATCCCACCAATGTCCACCCACTCATTCATTCATCTGTCCATCCACCCACCCATCTTCCATTCACTTATCCATCCACCCACCCTTTCATCCATCCATCCATCTACTCATCTACCCACTCATCTACCTTCCAAGCATCTATCCATCCAGCCGTCCTTCCATTATTGTCTGTCCCTTCCATTGAGCCTCCATCCATCCATCCAGACTTCCATCCACCTATCCTTCTGTCCATTTTTCTATCCCTTTTACCTTCTGTCTGTCTGTCCTTCCACATGCATCTGTCTCTCCATCATCTTAAACAGTATCTGTCCATCCATCACCCATCTGTTCTTCTATACATGCATCCATCTCTACATCCATTCATCCATACATCTCACAGATGTTTATTTAACTGATGGCTACTATGCCCAAGCCTTCAGATCACTGTGCCTTGAGCCAGGAGAAACATACCTAATTAGGTTTCTGTTTATTTGCTGTTCCAGGAAAGCTAATTGTGGGGTTTGTAAACAGCCCTTTGATGGCTGGAGAGTTACTTAAGAGGACAGTTAAATAAACAACTGCTGGGTGGAAACAGTCAGCGCTGGTACACAGCGGGTCCAGAGCCATGACCTGCCTTGCACAGCAGGAGGAGGGCTTAGCTCCGACAGTGTGGGTTCAGAAAGGAAGTCAGAATAATGGGAGCAGTGGCAATAACACCCACCAAGTGTGGAATGCCTACAGTATGCCAGATGCTGTGTCAAGCATAGTTCTTACAGAAACTCCACGTGATGGAAACTATGACCCCAGTTATGGATGGGGAGGCTGAGGTTTGGGGAGGGACATCCGTGTGCTCAAGGCCAGAGGGCTGGGAAGTAGCACAGTCAGGACATCAATCTGTCTGTGTGCAGTAATGACGGCAATAATAGCACATAATTACACAGCATTCACTAGATTCTAAGGCATGGTTCTAAGAAGCCCGCTAAATACACAACCCTGTGATGTTGCTACTATCATCACTACCATTTTACAGGTGAGAAAGTTGAGGTTGAGAGGCTTAAAGTAATTTGAAAAAAATTACTCAGTTGCTAGAATTTTTAAAAGAGTAATCTGGACTCAGAGTCTTACTCTTCACCGTGTTATGCAGTGGATTACGCCTTCTATGCATTTAACTTAGAAAGATCTAGCCATACACGATTGGCCAAACACTTTTTTTAAATCATTTTTTCATTTTTTCTGTTTTATATATCTAAGAATACTGTGAAATTATAACTTGTTATGTCTTTTTAATTGCTTAGTTCAGGGGTTGGTGATCTTTTTCTTATAAAGCTAGTGGATAATAAATGTTTTGGGCTTCGTGGACCATATGGTCTCTGTTGCAACTACTCACCTCTCCTCTGGTAGCTGGAAAGCAGCCACAGACAATATGAAATAATAGATGTGGCTGTGTGCCAATAAAACTTTATTTACAAAAAACAGGTGGAGGGCCGGATTTGGCCCAAGGGCTGTAGTCTGCCAACTGCTGACTCTGTGCATTTAAAATGTATCTGTATTCACCAAACCATGTGCTCTTGCCTTTTTATGAACAACAAAAGATTTTCAAGGACACTTTAAAACATTGCTCAGTTCCACCTCCAGACCATTTGCTCACATATGCCCTATACAACATTTGCCCCTTTGTCAGCTAGTGGCAGCTTCTGAAGGAATTTGCAAATTCTTGGCATTAAGCTAATTCCTTTATTCAAGTAGTCAACAAATGAATGAGAGTCTTAAGAGGTGGTCAGCCTGGCTGACTCCCCACTAGGGACTCTGAGAATACTAAAGGACATGGGATTTACTCTTCTCCACACCAAGTTTTGTAAACTTCTGGTTTGGGGGGAAAAAAAAGTAAAATAGAAGTTAAGTAGTCCTATGACTGTGGCTGTAATACTATTTCCTATTGGTGACAAGAACAAGGAAATGAAAGGATGACTGGTAGAGATATTACAAAATGTCCTCAGAGCTAGTGGGAACAAAACCAAGTAAGGTCAGAAAGATCCACTTTCCTCTTTATCCCCACCTCCTTTGCCTCAATGTTGATTTCCCAGCCTCAGAAAAGTTGTGAGCCTGAGGGAACAGCGTGTGTTCACTTCCAAGTCTAAAGACCAATGACAACCTGGGTAAAAATATTTGCAACATAAATGTAGACAAATGACTTAATTCCATAGTAGCTAAAGAATCCCTGCAGAGTGATAAGAGAAAAACCCCAAAAGCTGACCCCCTAGAGTAACAGCGTAAATAGATGGAAACAGGCAACTTACAGAAACAGAAATACATATGGCAAATAGACACGCAAGATGTCCAGCCTTGCTGGTGATCAGGCAAATACAAACTAACAAAAATTAGACAAGGTTTTTGAGTCCTCCATTTGTCAAAAATAAAAGACTGATAATGTAAAGTATCCAGGAGATTGTGGGGAATGGCCATGCATATTCTTCTGGTCCAAGTATGGACTGGAACAGTCTCTCAGAAAGATAACTTTACAGTATACAGTAATACTGTAAGTTCATCTTTTTTAGAACTCAGGAATTCCGTTGTTTGGCGTCTCCTTTAAAGAAACATCAGGCACAAGGAATATGTGCCAAAATGGTTACTGAAAACAACCTAAATAGCTGTTGGTGGGGGAAGGGTTAAGTACCTTGAAGTGATCTAAGGACTCCCCATCTTTTGAGGCAGACCCTACCCACTTCCACCATTGATGGTGAACCTGCTAGATGTCCACACTTCCCAGTCTCCTTTGCAGCTTTGGGGTGGTCACATGACCTGGGCTCATCCAATCAGACACACCTACCCAAACTCGGAATGGGGGGTAGTCCACAGGCCGCAGAAAGGTCTCACCGGATCTAGTCCTGTGGTTGGGCACTATCCCTGCTAACTTTGAAATCTGGCTCTTCAACTCTCTTAGACTCTCCCAACCCCTAATTTTAATTTGAGCTTTTTAAAAATTTTATTTTTTAATTGAAGGATAACTGCTTGACAGAATTGTGTTGGTTTCTGCCAAACACCAACATGAATCAGCCATAGGTATACATATGTCCCTTCCCTAATGTGAACTTTTCCCTCAAGTGTAGAAAGTGCATACAGAAAAATGCACAGGTCATCAGTGACAATGTGAGGAATCTTCCTAAGTGAGCGCATCAAGGCCACATCAAGAAGCAGCGTTCCCGTTCCCCAGAAGCTCCCCTCTGCCCTCTGCCAGTGATGACTTCCCCACAGGTAACCGGGGGTGGTGTGTCTGCATCTAGCCCTTCACTCGAATAGAATTAAATGATGTGTTTTCATGTTTGGTTCTGTCTCTTAATGTTGATGTCTTTGAGATTCATCTGTGTTGTTGCATGTGGATGCAGGTCATTCATCCCTATTGCTGGGCAAGAGGCCATCATCTGGATGTGGCTCAGTTCATTCATT